CTCTTGCTCAGGCTGATCTCGAACTCCTGACCTCAAGTGATCCTCCTGCCTCGGCCTCCCAGAGTGCTAGGATTACAGGCGTGAGCCACCGCACCTGGCCTTGAATATATTATTAATAAAACTTCACTATACTAGTGGTAAAATATCTGGATATTATAAATAGTATGGGTAGCAATGTTTATAGTTTAATGTTAACAAGGAAATGTTATATTTAACAGAAAAAAAGTTTGATCGGAATGTACCCAAAAAGCCTGCTGTGCCATTGAGAAGTGACCATCCAGTCATGGGAATACAGAGTGGAAAAAATTTTATAAACACAAATGCAGCTGATGTCATCATGGGAGTGGCTAAAAAGCCCAAACCAATTTATGTTGACAAAAGAACTGGAGACAAGCATGATCTTGAAACCTCAGGACTCCTTCCGAAGTACATCAATAAAAAGGTAGACTTGTAATATATTAATGACAGACCTGAGTTCAAATAATTTAAGTGTGGTGTTCATGGTGATTATCTATATTATAATTAATAGCGCTCTCACTGGACAAATTATCTAGATTGCCAATTCCCATTCCTCTGCAGTCTGTATTTGGTCTAAATCTAATGTGATGAAGTTACAGAGAACTTATAATAAATACCATACAGTTCAGTGATGAAAGTTATAGCGTTTTCCTTAATTTCAATTACTAATATATTTAGCAATTATAACAAACATTCTCTGAAAGATATTAATCTTTGGTTAGGTAGAAATGTCACTAAAACAGTCACTAGTATAAATCTAGGAGGAATAACATTTTAGAAGATCTTAAGGTGTCGTCATTAAATTATGGTAACTTGTCGCAGAATGAAAAAAATGAAGAGGAATACAAATTTAGAACCATCCATCTCATCAGGGTAGTATAAATGATTCTCATTACTATTTTTTTTTTTTTAAAAAACAGGGTCTCACTCTGTTACGCAGGCTAGAGTGCAGTGGTATGATTGTAGCTCACCACAACCTCAAACTCCTAGGCTCAAGAGATCCTCCTGCCTCGGCCTCCTGAGTAGCTGGGACTATAGGCACGTGTCACTAGGCCTGCCTAATTTTTAAATTTTTTATAGAGATTGGATCTTGCTATGTTGCCCAGACTGATCTTGAACTCCTGGCCTCAAGCAATCCTCCTGCTTCGGCCT